GTATTACTGGTTACATGAAACTCTACACCAACACTATTGATATAATACTGTGATCCATGGATATTGAAATACTTTTTTTAACTGGCTCTATTTTGACATAAATCAAAGGGAAACAAAGTCTTTCTGTACATCCGTAAACATATGATAAAAAGGGGGATCAGTTTGACTCTATGAGGTGTATACATACGCTGTCACGTTAATTCGGAATAAGGAAGTGAAATACGATGCATTGTATAGGCAAAGTGTCATTCCTTCTGCACGTTAAATATCCTTGTCAGAATCCGATGGCGGGCTGGTGCAACATTAAATTTCTTTCCTAACCAACAAAATACGTTCCGTTCCTTGCAGCGTGAAGGACCCTTTGGTGGCATTAGGCTGTTTTCTGCTCTTTGATCGGGTTGTTGTCTCTTCGACACATTTCCCCGTTTCCATTCTCTAATCTAAGCAACAACAGTATTTTCAGAAATTGCATAAACTTCCAAACGCACTATCAGATTGCTGTTGTTCAATTTATTTAAGGCGTGTTGATCAATTTTGGAAACAATAAATTCTTACAAACTAGCCTACGTAAACATTTTTCTTCAAAAGAAAGACATATGCACCCAGATGAAAGTGCCACAGCAATATCTGCATGAAACAGAACCATTTGGTTGTTCCATTGAATCGTCAATTGATTTTTATTTTTTGCATTTAACTAGGGAACTACCATTTAACTTCAAAAAAACGGGGGGGGGGGGGGGGGGGGGGGGAGGGGGGGGGTTATGATTTTCCTAAAAAAAAATATTCTGATCCCCAATTTGATGAAAACAAATATTGTGGTCAAGCAGATGACAAAAAAAAATATTCTGAATCATGATTTTCCCCATACCTTATAGTTTTAATTTTGAAAAAAAAATAATAGTTTGATTGATAGCGTCGAAAAACTAAAAAAAAAAAATTCTGACTAAGACAAAAGACCAAAACACATCGTATAGTCAGATATAAAAGGCACCGTTATGAAAATGTGCAACAATTCATACATGAATGAACGAACAACAACTTTGGGACAGGCACATATAGAATGTAACGGGATTAAACATGTTTATTAGGGTTCACCCAATCCCCCCTTTTTCCCCTAAACCTGTGACAGTGGTGTAACAGCAAAACTTAAGAACGAACTGTAAAACGCAGTGGCAAATGGTCTAACTCAATAGATCGGTATGGAAAACAAAATAATCTACTAGTAACATAAAAAAAATTGATATAAGAGCACTCGCAGTTACTGAGAGGTAGTATAAAGCCAATTACAATTAATAAATAAATCTTTTTCCCCCAAACTAAATTACTCATCTTTTTATGCCCCCGCAACTGAAAGTTGGGAGGGGGGCATATTGTTTTACCCCTGTCCGTCCGTCCGTCCTTCCGTCCGTCCCATTATGGGTAAATAGCTATTCCAGATAACTCCTCCTACAGTTTGAATGCTAGGAAGTTTTCACTTTGCTAGCTGTTTGTACATATATTGAAGGTGTGCATGTGGTCAGGGTTTTGATTTTTATTAATATTTGCTCTTTTGGGAGATTGTTGAACTTTGTCATTTTGGAGTATATACTCGCATAAGAGGTACATAGAGTTTCCTGATAACTCCTCCTACAGTGAACCATAGACCTCTGTGCTCCCGTGCTCAACTTTGTGTATTTTAAAATAACACTTTGCATCTGCGGTGGCATCATTTGTGTTTCCCAGACACAATAATATCGCAAGAAAGTCCTACATTGACTTTATAATATAGATACTTCAGAGTGGAGTGCGGGGGCATCACTTTGTCTAGTTTTGAAGGAAACATTGTGATTTTCTCACACGACAATGTTACATTAAACAAAACTACCTCAAGAGAGCTAAAGGTATTCCTGACGAACAATCAGTATGTTTTCATTATTTACAGATCAATGAAGTGTACAACCAACTGGTTGAATAAATATCATAATTAGAAATACATCTTAAAAGGGTTGACTGAGGAATACAAATGTGAGTACCTAGACTTCTCAAATCCAGCAGTAAGCCATATGATACAAGGGCATAGTTTGACTATGTGGGACGCCTAGGCAGGATATTGGAGTGAGATACAATGCATGGTACAGAGTGTTCAATCTATCATGCGCTCTGCGCGATAAAATAATGAAAACAACTCATCAGGAATACGAAGATGGACTGGTGAAAACATGAAGCGTATATCCCTATCCAACATATACTCTATCCAGTGGTACATGTAGTATGACAACTAACCTAGTAGACTCATCGTTTATTTGATCCAGTTCTGAATATGCATGAATATTTGCGAATTAATAAACAATTAAATCAAAATATAACACTAGAATGTGTAGATTCGATCCAATCTAAACCAAAACGAGGTACACTTAAAGGGATTATTAGTGCTTCTTCAACAAGCAAGTAATAAGTAAAACATAAAACAAAGACTTGTTGGTTCAAGAATCAGACTGATATAATATAAACTAATTGTAGCATGTGAAGAAATCGACTCAATTTGCACGAAAAATACAAAACGGGGTAATTTTATATAATAATACTCTAAATATTCATGAAATATTTGCTACTGGACATCTTTGTGTTTATCAATTAATCAATAAAAAAATACAAAAATAAAAAACAATTGATTTATAATTCACTAAAAAGATGCCATAATGGTGATCTAGTCTCCTAAGCGCAAATAAACTTTTATGACTTAATTATTATAAACACTTTTAGTACATGTATAGTTTAAATTGTTTCGCAAACATGCATTAAAAGTATTTTGAATAAACTAACCAACGCAGTATCGGATTGCTGTTAAGTCACTTTAGCTACTGCGTACGTGCTTTAATTTATGTGGACCAAGGTAAAACGTTGGAATCATCCGTTTTACAAACGTAGCAAAGATAACCAATTAAAAGTGCATGTACATGTAGTCGGAAGTCGCGTGTCATCAACATGATTTATGTTTGCACAAAAAGTGCATTACAAAGTTACTCTCAATAACATAGTTCGTTTGAGTTCAAAATACAAGGACACGTTTTAATTTAAATAGTGTTATATAATATTTTAGATTTTATCTAAATATTTGATGAAAAATTGACTTGTTAATAAAACATTTAGATACCAACAAATGTTTAAGTACATGTGCTTAAATGTATTTGATATAAATATGTTATTTGTATTAGTGAAGTTGAATCGATATTTTCATCGTTTGCTATAATTTAATAATTCACTAAATGGACTTGGGAGTAGGAAATAAGGAAAAACAGTCCTGGTATAACAAAAAAAAAATCATCCGCACTAAAGTTTGAAATAAATCATACGCATAAAAGTTTGAAAAAAAGCGTACGCACAAAAGTAAAAAAAAAAACTTTAAAAAAAGTTTGTAAAACATCATACGCACATAACAAAAATTATAAAATGGACACTATCATGTATTGAAGTGAGTATGGTAGCTTTCATATATGGGTATACATGTCGTCAGATGGCACTAAAATGTATTACAGTCAGTATAATATCTCTGATATGTTGGCAAATAGGTCGACAGTTCATCAGTCGACACTTATTTAAAAAAAAAGTTTTGTCTCATATTGTAAGAGGTTAACAGGTCGATAGTCAGTATTAGCATGATTAGTATTACTAAGTTCTTATAATTTAGTAAAAAGGTTGGCAGGTCAGTACTTATTTGTAAAATACAAATAATCAGTATAATACATCTCCATACATGTATGGATAGGGCGACAGGTCAGCACTAGAATGTATTGATTTTAGTATAATGGTTCATTAACATTGGTAGACAGGTCGGCAGTCATCCCTTAAATGCATTATAGTCCATACAATAGCTCTTATGTGTTGGCACATGTAAATAGGTCGGCAGTCGTCATTTATATGTACAATAATCATAAGGGTAACTTTTATACATGTGTGGACATTTTCTTTATAAGTGCCGACCTGCCGACCACTAAATACGAATGTAGTTACTTTATTTCTTTACACAACATAAAAAAGGACCAGCCTACAGAGTTTTAAAATTGGACACATTTCTGCCGACTACTAATTACAAATTTGTTTGCTTGATATTTTTTTTTCATTTAAATTTACCTACGTTTACAAATGCAAATCTATTTACTTCATTGTTTCCAATGACAATTTGCCAACGTAAACATGTAAAAATTTAAAACTGTTTATCTGTAAACCGATTTACTATTTAAATTTAAATACTAATTCCAAAGGAACTATATTTCCTTATACACTACTTGAACTCCCATATAAAGGGAGAGACCCGAGAAGCATCCGATCCGACGATTGGGTTCTGGTGACCGAATAGAAATTATTTCCTATCATAGTATTTGAAGTATAATTTGAAACTTTGTGTCTTCAATGCTAGTAATCTATGTAATACTGTTTGATTTGGCCCTTTTAACTTTTTTTATTTGCGCGTCACTGATGAGTCTTTTGTAGACGAAACGCGCGTCTGGCGTACACAATTTTAATCCTGGTATCTATGATAAGTTTTTTTTTTTGGCAATTTTAGTTTAAAATTCAAATAATCAGGTGAAATGAAAAAAAAAATAGTAGTCAATACCTTTTTTTAAGGCAAAATAACCAAATAGAGACAATAGTCTATTTGCCTATTCCGTAATTGACCCCGTCATTAGATATATTTTTTTTAGTTGCTTTCCGATGAACATAAATATTATGAAAAGCTAGCGGAAATACCAAATTTATCTACGCGTAATGCATTTTTTTTCATAAATTTGATCTTTTTGCAAGCGAATAAACTTTTAATATGTATTGTATTTTTTTTAATTTTAATTTTGTTTAAACACATGCATATGACTCGGACTTATTATGCTTTGCATGAGCACCAGTCCAGTTTTATCCAGTATAGAACCAGTCTACAATTGGCAAAGGGAAACAATCTGTGTTAAAAGTATGTAATAACAGAATTAAATCGGTTATTGGCAAATAGACTATTGAGAAAGAAGACACAACACGAAAAAGCTTTTATTTCTCAATTATTTCCTTTTTGCATATACATGTAGATCCATTTATTTTATACTCATTATTACAATCATGGATTTTGAATTTTTCTAATTCGGAATCTGTTTCGTCAAAGATTATAATTTCTTGTTCTTGGAAAGTTTGTTTCACATTTGAAAATGGAATTAAAATAACAGCACTGACACAAAGTATAGCACATCCAATAAAATATGGTATGCCCCCTGATCCTGTTGTTTCTCTCAGAAACGCTGAAAATAAAAGAAATTTTGATGCGTGATTAGGGCCTTAAAATTGACAATAAAAAACTGTTGACGAAACAAATATGCATTTTCTGCTTTTGTTATGACATGAATCAAGCTTAATTAAAGATGAATGTTCGACTTATGGTTATTCATAATAGATTGCAAATGATTATACCATTCACAATGTTGGACTCTTATGCAAACATGAATCGGTACAAGGACATCATTCGTAAATATAAATCAACATGCAGACATCTTATATGTTCAGGTATTTCACATCCAATATTTTATGATAATATTCTTTACAAAGCACAAAAATGTCGGCATTCACCTCAAAAGCTAACCAAACCTTTAAACAGACTTATTCGGAAAGGATATAGTTACGATACTGTTGTCAAGTCATTAAGGATTGCATATTTTGGTATTAATATTGATTCACTCATAGGGTCTTTGCATCGGAAATAAACACATTTATTCTAAAACCAGTTGTTGGCATGATACGGGTTATGTTCTTCTCATATATTTTATGATGGTATGATACTAAACCCCTAACGGGAGGGATTGTACTTGATTTTCATATGATGAAGACATAATCTTTCAATCAGTTTAATTGAGGTCTGGAGCTGGCATATCAGTAACTGCTTGTAGTCCTTTGTTCATTTATGTATCATTGTCATTTTGCTTGGTTTCTTTTGTTACGTATTATGACATCGGACTCGGGACTTCTTTTAAACTGAGTTTTACTGTGCGTATTACTATGCGTTTCTTTATTCTACATTGGCTAGATGTATAGGGGGAGGGTTGAGATCTCACAAAACATGTTTAACCCCGCCGCATTATTGCGCCTGTCCCAAGTCAGGAACCATTTGGCCTTTGTTAATCTTGTATGTTTTTTTAATTTTAGTTCATTTATATGTTTTGGAGTTTAGTGCGACGTCCATTTTCACTGAACTAGTACACAATTTTATTTAGGGGCCAGCTGAGGACCACCTCCGGGTGCGGGATTTTCTAGCTGCGTTGAAGACCCATTGGTGGCCTTCGGCTGTTGTCTGCTCTTTGGTCGGGTTGTTGTCTCTTTGACATATTCCCCTTTTCTATTCTCAATTTTATGAACCATTGATTTATTTGTTACTTCTATGCGTGTACTTGGCTAAATACTGTTTCGCCTGACGTCGTACGGATATCAAACATCCAACATTTTAGTATTTGCATAGTTTGATAAATAATTATGACTTTAAAGTCCATTGTATATAAATAGCCCTCCTTAATCGAAGAAGTAAAACAACGTAATTCATTCCTAACTTTCAGGTTTTCGTAGAAGAAAATCTCCGTTCACCACCTATCAAGATTGATAGAACAGTTACTCTAATTGCAACAGTACATCACTGTACAAATCAGAATTTAGTGTGGAAAAAAAGATATTAAGTGATCGAAGCATTTGCACTGATCTTCGTATAGTATCTACCAATTGAAATATTTTCAGAAAAATACATGTAAACCTGAAAATGTATGCGAACAAGATTGCGATCCTGTAATAAAACATGAAAATTAGAGCTAACCATTTTGTTAAGACACTTGTTCTATTTTTAATGATTTTATAGTGACCTCTGGATCTCTTTTGGTTTTTCGTGTTTCGTTTTTGTTCCTGTCTAATAACGGTATACCCTACATATTTTTCGTTGATACTTTTCAGGTTGATTTAAGATACAATCTGAGAAACAAGCATGCATAAAGAAATGGCGGAAGAAATTCGGTCACCTCTTCCTATCCTACAGTAATACTCCTTCTAGCGATGGTATGTGTTGCTGTAAACTAAGGACTTTCAGGGTTGTATGTAGCCAAAATTAATAACATCACTACAAAATTGAATGGGAGCTTGTTTCATGTAGTATCTCAACCCTTTCTGTTTTACTCTAGTCTGATCTGACTGATTATTGCATCATATCCCTTTACATTTAAACGTTTGATGCACGAGATACTCGATACGCTTTTCATTCTTCGTCACTGTATTCTCTTCTTTCTTAACCTTTATATTTATTAAAATTTTAGCAGAGAGTTTTGGTATTTGCTTTTTCCCTTTCTCATTGCATTTTGATTTGCGTCATTGGAAAATACATATGATGTCAGGATCTCAACCCCCCCCCCCCTCTTTTAACTCAATTAAATAGGAAAGTTTTAAGCTGCTTGTTACTGAAACATTTATGTTAGGAAAACATACAACAGATAGAGTAGGATCTACTTTCCCTCGGTTCTCGGTGAGGTTCGTGTTGCTCAGTCTTTAGTTTTCCATGGTGTGTCTTGTAGAAGATTATTTGTCTTTTGGTCGTTTTTAGTTTTTATACGTCCGTTTACGGGACGTATTATGGTAAACCGCTGTCTGTCCGTCCGTCGTCAACATGTCGGATAATAACTCAAAAACGCTTTGAGCAGTTTTCATGAAACTTTGGTGAATTGTTTATACCTATTGACGTGAGTTCCCTTTCGATTTCTATACATTTTAGATTTTACGTTTCCGAGTTATGGGGTTTTATTCATTAAAAAGGAGGATTTTCTAGTTTTCGGACAATAACTCAAAATAGCTTTGAGCAGTTTTCATGAAACTTTGGTGACTGGTTTATATTTATTAAAATAACCTCCCTTTAGTTTTTTTTTTTTATATAAATTTCTGATATGATATTAAGGAGATATGGAACTTTATTCTTTGAAAAAGCGACGGGCGTATCATGCGCTCATGGCGCAGCTCTTAAGTTATTAGCCATGCCATTATTCGTTCGTTTTCGGCTTATAAGTTTGACCATCTCTGGATATCTTCAGCCTCTCTATTACACAGTACCTGTAAGTGGATTTCCTATTGCACATCCAATGCCTTCTGCGAGTAAGGCCAAACTCATAGCTCTACCGTAATACTGAGGCTCTAAAAGGTTCTTCAATGAAAGATTCCATCCTACATTGTTTCCTCCTAAGAAATGTAAATTTTCATAATTATGTATCTGCAAATGTACATGATATGTAACACTTTATTTAATTTCAATAAAACGGGGTACTAGTAATTTTTTTTCAATTTTCTTTTCTTTTATTTTTTAACTAGCAAAAAGATTCATTCTGAAATATTATATTTTAATGAGGTCGTTGTGTTTACACATTACTGGTTTACAAAATAAAACTATATACTCAAACGGTTATGTATCGCCAACTGGTACATGTATCTATGCATGATATTGATCAATGCATGTTCTTGTAAGATTTTAACATTTGAATGGAGAGAAAAAAAATGTTTGACCAACTAAGCTTCGGAAGGCCTAGTTTTCATCACTCTCGTAAAGTTTCAAAATAATTCACTCATCCAGTTTTAGAAAAGGTGTTCAAAATTGACTAAAAAGGGTTGAGATCTCACATAACATGTTTAAACCAGCCGCTTTTTTTTTGCCTGTCCAAAGTCAGGAACATCTAGCCTTTGTCAGTCTTGTGTGTTTTTAAATTTTGGTTCATTTGTATGTTTCGGAGTTTAGTGTGGCGTCCATTTCGCTGAACTAGTATACAAGTACATTATTGTTTATGGGCCAGTTGAAGGCCGCCTCCGGGTGTGGGATTTTTCTCGCTGCGTTGAAGACCCATTAGTGGCCTTGGGCTATTTGCTGCTCTTTAGTCCGATTGTTTTCTCTTTGACACATTCCCCGTTTCCATTCTATTTTGTGTATGAGGACTTTTACAAAAGAACTTACAATCATAATAATTCCTTCCAGATTTGGGTAGAATTGGCCGAGTAATTTCAAAGAAAAGATTTACCATAGGTGGTTCACTGGTAAATATGTGCCAGCGAATCTGCCATGTTTATCACCCGATGAACATGAAATGAAGTGCTTTCTTGAGTTATAAAATATTTCGCTGTGTACATTTGTACATGTAGTTTCAGAAAAGAATGTTTAAATCGCCAATTAGTATTAAAGATTGTCTCTTGCGGCCATGGTTTTCATCCGATCTGATACATATTGATTATTTATCAATGACTTTATCTCATTTAATTGTTATTGACCTAAAAAAACATAGATGATAGCGTTCTATAACCACTCTTATCTTATTGTCTAATAAATACCATCAAAGAATCCGTATAAAACTGCAAACACTAGAAATTGGTCCATTTTTGTCGAATAAGGTACCATTAACATCATTAATCCCATTCCTGCTAGGAATATAATCCAGAATTTTATAACATGGTTAACAAAACAATGAGAGAGAAAACCAAAAAACAACCGTCCAAAACCACTCCCGACTCCAAGCATGGCCACTGCTAATGAAATCTCGTCCATACTAATTCCTATTGAGACTGCCGTGTCAGGTAGCTGAGTAGCAGGTATATATTGTGCAGCAATAAAAAGAAAGTTTGTCACAAGATAAACAATGAATTTTGGTTCTTTGCAAAACTCCATGTCTACTTTTTTACTAATTTTACTATTTCTGGAAACATTCTCTGAAAATAGAAAAAACAGTAAATTGGTAGAAATTATATTAACATCTATTTGATTAAAGACTTATGTTGAGCTAAAATTCGTACAAGTGGCTATCATGGCAGGCGGTTAAAAAAAAGACCAGTCTTACAAATTTACATGCTTTTATTATAAGCTTTGATTATAATTTGTTATATCGTTTTCAAGAGCAGTTTTCTATATAACTTCAAGTGGCTCAAATATTAAACTTAGTTCTGTACTAGAAGCAATATGTCGAATGCAAGTAAGCCGATCGACACTAAAGTTTTAAAAAGATAGAAAATAGGAATAGTGCAATCTTTTGTAACTGTTATATGTTGTTTCTGACGTTGAAGTTTGTTCAATCAGAAAAACCCAATCAGCAGTGTTTTAACTAAACGAAAATAATGCACTTTGTATACTTTGTTCAATCTTTGATTTTTCATAAAGAAAATAATGCTCATTGTACGGTCAATATTGTCTCGTGTTGAATTGGGTATATACATATGGTCACCTGGGCCCGTATGCATGAAACTACATAAATTTAGATTTGTTCCGAATGGACCGATTTTCTACATGTCCTACGATAAATAAGTACTACGATTGGATAGCTTAACTATAGTGGTGTTATGCATATCAGCCCTGGACTTCTCACGTTTCGATCGGAAACACCTGATTACAGTTATCGTCTTTCTGGCTGTGCGGGATGTATAAATGCGCAGCCAGGTCTGATCGAAGTTGGGACGTGCGATATCTCGTGCCTCTCTTTAAGTTACAATGTAGAGAACCCTTGCCTTAATTCTTTCAAGGGTCAGTAGATATCCTGTTGTAAGGATACATTTCTGCCTCTTATTAAACATATGGCAATGGCTCCTTATCTATGGTGTCGAAACGAAACTAGAAAAGAGGGCATCAGCCCAAAATTGCAACCCTTGTACTTGGGACCATGTCCGGTCACACAGAAATACATTCCTTTAAATTATGAAATTCAATTTGGTTTAAATGGGAGAAAAAGTGTTGTCAATCACGACAAACTAAAACCATTTACGGAAAAAAACAGTTCGATCCCAAATGGATTTTACAAACCATAAAGGAGGCAGTCAAGACCCTAAATGCTAAATCAGTTACATCACCATAAATGCCATATTATTAAATGACCCAATATTGATGTACATTTGTAATAGAATTAGTTAATTTGTGAAATGCAAACTGCATGCATTCTGTACCTGTATATATAAATTTTGTCACTATGGTTATAGTGAAAACAAGGTTCATGGTGACCTTGATATGATTTTATCTTAATGTAGCCATGTCTACAGCCACCCTTAATATTGCCCCATAAATCAAAAAAAGTGTCTGTTTCAAATATAATGAAGCACCCAAAGAGAATTTAATTAAATTCTAATAAACTGACAGTGTTTTGCTAATGTACATGTATTACAGATCTTGAAAAGATCACATCCAATTGATGTAAATTGCTAATATATTTAGTAAGATTCTATTTTTTAATGTTTGTCTTACTGGGTTATTCAGTGTTCAATAGATAGTCTCAACTTAACCAGCAGTGTTGTGATGGAAACCAATCAATATTTTTTTACTATGTCAAATCAAGGATATCGCAACTTGGCGACCAACCAGTGTGTCAAACCTATAAAGTCCCAGTTTTGTTACATGTCTGGTGACCGTTCTCTAATTTCTATCTTTGCAGATGTCTCACTACATGGATCTTGCGAGTAAGCGTGGGTTAGCCTACAGGTGTATGAAATGTCTGCAACCATCCAGTTATATTGGAGAGAAGGGCAGAGTGGAGGCCCACATATGGAAGCACCACATTCCTCTAAATGAAAGTCATTTGTTCTGTTCACTATGTCTCTATAGAGCCACCAGGGAGGGAGAGATAAGAAGGCATGTTATGACCTTCCCATCACATTTACTTCAGAAGAACAAGTTAATGGCCAGCAAAAATTCGTTGGAGACGAGAACTACTTAAAGAAAAGTAGTAACCCGTATCACTTAACACCATTGGACCTGGTACCAATGACACACCAGGAGAGCCATGATTTCTGGAGTACCAAGAGGAGGTGGGTAGAGCAGCCTAAAGGACTACAGTCAGGTAGTGTGTCCTTATCTCCAGTGCACCTTGCTCCACTTCCAGTAGCCCCAGTCCACTCTGCTCCACTTCCGGTAGCTCCAGTCCACCTTGCGCCACTTCCAGTAGCACCAGCCCAGACTTTAGATCCCTTACTGTCATCATCCACATTATCAAATTATAGTTGGGTTAATTCATCAACAGCATCACATACAGCTACTTCAGCAGCACCCATAGCCACTTCATCCAGCATGATACCACAGATGACCATATCACCGGAGTCTTTTAGTCAGTATCTCCCGGTTGATCTAACTGACTTCTCAACAGGTCCTTATTCCCCTGAGCTGTCCTCACCCGCAAGAGTTATAGTTGAGAGGGACGCTCAGGAAGATGTAGAATGCGTATTACCTCAGATACTGGAGGAAGAATTACCACCATCTTTAAATCTGCCCCTGTATACCCCACCAGTAGTTTTGTCTACCCAAAAGAGTGCATGCAATTCATGCAAATGTGATAGTACCATAAAAGAACTACTTTGTGCCGTTAAAACTTTGACAACAGCTCAGGAGACAACGTTCCAGCAGCTTCAACATTTTGATTAGACAATCTCATCCATGAGTACAGAAATAGCCTGTTTCAGGGGCCAAATGAGGCAGTACTTTGCAAGGCCACGCCCCCGATTCCAAAACCGTAGAAAAAACTTCAACCCTCGACCACAACCCAAGATGAAATCCACAGTACAGAAGAAGAGTCCAGAACCTCCAGAAGAAGAACAGTAACTTTAGAATTTTAGACAATTGATGTATATTTTTGGCAATTATAGTCATTTTATTAGTGGTGCAGAGTAATTGATTATTTTCAAAATTCAAATAACATTTATCAAAAATTAAAACCAGTTTTTCTTTCTAAAAAGTTAGATTGTTTGCATTATTCATACAGTACATAATTAAAGTTCTACTAGTAAAGATATAATTACATTCCATTTATAGAATTTAGAACTTTTATAGCAGTTAGCAAAATAAATAATATCGACACTTTGAATTTACATAAGAGTGGAAACTCAACTACTTCAGTCATAATTTTACATTTTAATGATTGTCTTATATTTGCGCTTTAAAGTCATGTAAAATGAAATAATATAATGTTCTATTTTGAATAAAACATAACGAGTTGTATAGGAACCTTTTGAAAATGAACCAGATCTGACTCTGAGTATATCTATAGTTTTGAATTTGTGTATTGTACAAAATAGTTTTATGACATTTGCGGGACGCTAAATGTTTTTGCTGGGGGTAAAATGTAAGGTGTATGTCACGGTTTATAAATATATGTATTTTTTGGTCTTTTGGAAAATGTTGTTAGTGCTGTATTAAGAACCCTCTACCAAGAAATTTGTTTTGCATGCACACGTATAAAAATTGCGGTTTTTCTCCAACACAATCATAGGTTTGAACGTTGTTTTCAATTTAGACTTGTTTATATTTTTTCATTGGGGCTTGTATTATATTTGCCTTCGGGTTATATGATCCGTTCATCTTATTTCAACTCTTTCAAAATTCAAGAGTCTATCCTAAATTGAGGTAAATTATATGGCCTTCCAAATACCGTTTCGATTCCTAACATCACTGGAGAGACATTAATTGTCGAAATCCGGATATGGTGTACAAATTTTTTGCACCTCATATTTGCGGTATACCATCTTTTCCGCAAGTTTATTGTTTTCTGTTTGGTTATAAATTATTATAAGATCTATTTTGTTACATCTTGTGATCCGTTTATTTGGCAATCGCCAATGGCAGTCAGCAGGGTTTAAGAACATCAGTTGATCGACCTGCTAGTCAAATGCGTTTTGTTAAAATATACTTTTTTACTTTTTTGGTCTTTTGGAAAATGTTGTTGGTGCTGTATTTAAACCCCTCTACCAAAAAATTTGTTTTGCATGCACACGTATACAAATTGCGGTTCAAAGTTTATCCAACGCAATCATAGGTTTGAACGTTGTTTTCAATTTAGACTTGTTTATATGTATTAGTATATATAGTCAAAGATGTAATGTGTAATATCACAATTTTTATTCGAGAAACAAATATTTATATCTTAGAAAAGTGTGAATTTCACAGATAACAATAACTCAACACATTAGATGTTCAAATATTTTAATGTTTACAATAAAAACACAAAGAATAGTTTTAAAATATTTGAATTATAAGTTCAGAGCAATTCATATTCTTTGATAACAAATAGATTGACGAATATCAATAGCAATACGCCGATAAAAGTAAACGTTTATTTTTTTTGGGTAATATTTCGATTGTCAGTTTTCGACAGTGAAAATCACACATGTTCCAAACCAGTTTGGTAGAAACGAGACGACGTATGTCGGATGTATTGTTTGTCACTATTAGCATATCACTAATAAATAATTGTATGTTTGTATTTTTACTGCACTATGTCAGGGATTTTCAGGATCTCGTATTTTTGTATCCAGCACCTGTTTACATATTTTTGGAGAAAGAGTCATCAACTGCGCATGTGCGTAGAATTTAGTCACCTGGAATATCTGTAAATTCTACGATTTCTTAGATTGTCAAACGTATTGAGCAAAATGCTCACTTTCTAGATAATGTCAGCGAACCATTCGATTCATTTGAAAGCTTATCTATTCTTATTTCATATAATTTTTGCCATTTTTCAGCCGGTTGACTCGCTTGGCTTTTTATTTCTCCGGTTACCACTTTCCGGTGGTGGCGCTACTATCGTGGCGCAAAAATTATGAAAACTTATTTTATTCAAGAAAATAAATTGTTCTTTGATGTATTTATTTTTATCTAGTAGGAATAAAATTGTATTAGGATTGTTTTTGTGATTTTAAAAATTGTATTAATAATTTCATTTCTTCCCCACAATCTACCCCACAAAACACCCAACGGATCATCCAACAGAATACCCAACAATATCAGTTTTGGAGAGAAATCAGTTCTGCTACAAATTTTGGTTTGAATGGTTAGCATTTTCTAATAGTCTTTTATTTTTCATTGATTTAAGTAATTTTCAGTAATTTACTTTTGCAGAACTCAATTTTATTCAAAGATTTTTATTGTTCAGTAATTTTCTCATTTCATTGATTCACATTTCTTATATAAAACTTTTGGAAACATAGGATTTCCTTGTGAAGGGCCAAGGAAATATAAAACCATATTTTTTTGTATATAACAGTTTCCTGTGAAGGTCCAGAAACCTGTTATCTTAGCACTTCTCCTGTGAAGGACCAGGAGGAAAGTTGTTATTATTGTATAGTACATTTTTGTCAGATTCCTAAGAAGGATCATTCTAGTATCAGCATACCCTGTGAAGGACCAGGATATTTCTGATTGTATTTCATTGAAATTTATATTAAATAACTAGTAAAGTTTCAGATAAAGTTTCTAATTAAAACAAATAAATCCACATAGTCCAAGTAAAGTAACTTATTTTGTTGTGTTTCTCCTTGTGCCGTATTGGCAAATTTATTGTTTTTTTTTCTATTGCATAACCATATTATATTTGACACATTGGTTGGTACATTTCCAACACAATTTTTGTGATAGCACTTACTGTGAAGGTCCTGTCGGTGGCTTGCTGAATATTTTGAATAACTGAAATCCAGTTACATTTTTGGTGTTAAATAGTCATATTGACTGTGAATGGCCAGCCAATCTTTTGACTTGTAATTGACTGTGAAAAGCCAGTCAATGGTAATCTTTTAGTGATATTCTGACTAAGGTCAAATAGAAATGTACTTTTATGGTGATCCCGTCACAACATATTTATGATTTTCTAATGACATTGTTGATGTTAAAGCTTCTATTGAAGACATACAAATAAGATAATTAATGTTCATTGACTATTGAATATCATACACAAGTTGAATAAATTATGGAAACTTTTACTCATTAGTTGCCTTTTGCTGTGCCTTCGGTTTTCTTAGAACCACTATAATTTCATCAGGCTTGGGCTCATTCAAAGGTTTTAACCCAGTAGTCAGAAAATAATTTATTGATCAACCCCCTAGCTCGCTACAATATGCTCATTCCAACCTTAATCCCGTTATTTTTCCTCGAATGTGTTGTTCTTTGTGCTTTTTTAAATGTCAGTAATGTAATTACGGTAACAGTCGCGTCTATCCTTTGCCATGAAATTTATTATTTACTATTGAAAATTTTACATTTGGACAAGTTTCAGGGTTAGAAAATTATATACATGACCGATGGTTTATGAATTTGGTGATGTCTTAGTGTTAGATAGGAGTTAATTACCAATCCGCTATTTCGTGATGTCTAATCACTTGATATAAATTATCAACATTATTTTATTGGAGAAACATGACGAGTGTCACAAGTGAAGCAGAATCTGCCTACCCTTCCGGGTTTTGGTGAGAATCGTATTGATCGGTCTTTAATTGGTTTTCTGTGTTTGGTTTTGTGTACTGTTGTTTGTCTTTTGGTAGTTTTTCGTTTTGTGCATGGCATTGTCAACTCGTTTTCGACTATGAGTTTGAATATTCCTTTGGTATTTTTCTTTTCATATTGATATACCGATTGGTATACCTTGATGCCCTACTTTTTGTAATGATTAATCATTGTTTAAATTCATAAATATGCATTAAATATTTGCCACTGGACGTTTAACTAGCACAAATCGTTTGCCTCATCGTGTTAGAAAAGACAGATCGATGAGTCAAGATTATACAAAACAATATTGCAAAATGCGACATGACTTTTGTCAAAGTGATCAAGATTTTGAGATTGTATTGAAACCATGTCAATAAAACACAAATTGCAAGTTTGGGCCATCCTATAAACCTGTTTTTGAATTGTTTTTGGTGTTTCGCCAGGAGCTGAAAAAAGGAGAGAGAGAAAAAAAACCAACAGATTTTTAAATTATAAATGTGCATCATATTCCCCATAAATTTTTTTTTTAAAGTTTACATGAAGAAAAAGAATGCATATTTATGTCCTATGTTCAAGCAAATTTATTTTATGGCTCGTTTTACTTTTCAAAAAAAAAAATAATAAGTATTAAGATTTGTTAAACTTCATCGTTCAAATGGAATAAGAGATTCAAACAAGAAAATTCTGTCACTCAGCAATATTCTTAGACAACCAAGGATTGTTATCATCAATAAATTAACTTTGTCACAATTTGGCTGGAATGTTATAACATTGTGTTTAAATGCAACACTGAAAACATTAGACAGGAACCAATTAGGTTTAACTTATATTTACCATTGCAGGAAATGGTCAGTTGTACCACACATAAATACACCGGTATAAATACTCTGAAATATGGGCTGATCATATGGTAGTCAAATACATGCTAATGGATTTTCTTTGTGGGGCTGTGTCATATGTATTTGGGGATGTTTAGGCACGCAGCCACGAATAGTCGGAAAGGGGGCGTTAGATTCAATGCCCTATGTAAGGAGCTCTATAATTCTGTAATTTCTGCTTAATAATATTGAACGTTGTAACAAATCCATAAAGGGTAGGTAGGTGTCTGTTGCAAAGACAACTTTATGTCCTACTCCAGTATGCTCTATTTGTCAAGTTATGGACTTTTTACCTTTGCCGATTTTCATTCTGGTTGACCCACTTTGAAGAACGTACGTAATGGTTTTTTTGTTAAATTCATTCTCGTCCTTGAAGTATGGAAATATTTGCCACTGGACAGTAAGCAATCCATCTTACCAAACAACCATATTGGTAATCAATTTTATGACTTGCATGCATTTAATGAAGGCAGTAAAAAGATTCTATATCGGCTTAAAACTGAAGTTGCTTTCTCAGTAGACAGACAGTGCCATTGACGATTTGTTAAGCTTTCAGATATTTAACGAAAATAGTACTTTATTTAGAAAAATTAGTAGTAAACAAAAATATCAAACTTGGAAGGGTGAACTGATGTCGTAGAAAGACAGAAAAAACAATGATCAAAGGAATAGAAAACAAAAAAAATACAAACAACATAGAGAAAACGTAACGATTGACCTATACAAATCAAGGGGTAGCTGTATTCTTGTGCTCTAAAGAGAGTTTTAAGTTAAACAGTACGCTTACCTGTTGGAAGTGGAAATACAACAGCTCCGCAGACTACAACATGTAGCGATATCCCTGCATGGACAAGTATAGCACCATGAAAACCATATTTTTGTAAAAGAGACTCCATTAAAATTGGCATGATTACCATGCCAAAAGATCCTCCTAATATTGCCAATGACATTGCTATAAATTTTCGTTTAGTGAAATATTTATCTACCGCCACTAATAAGCTGCTATAAGAAAGTGACATTCCAATTCCTGAAAATAAAATAAACGATAAAATAATTTCTGAGGCCTTATATGCACACAATGTTTTCGAAAAAGAAAGCAAGATACTTAATTTCTTAACCTCTTCCGTAGTAGGTGAGAGAAAGAAAAAAAAAACCAATATGTACATTAAGCTTAGGATTGAGTAACGTTAGTTTAACAATATTCGTGAAAACTCGTGCGTTTAGCAGACGTTTGCGATATCTGCCCCAAAAATGGCACCGTTATACATTGTATAACTAATGCCCATTATAAGCCAAACATTAAAAAAAGATTATACATAGTGTATTCTATTCATTTCATTTTTAATGTCTGTTCTAACAATTTATAAACAGATATTTCTGTTCACTGGTTGGTATACCTTGATTCATATATATATATATCAATCTAATTCTGTTCATTGCTTTTGGTTAATAGACATGTTTCTATTGAATTTTCAAATAGAACTACATGTGAAACACAAATAGAAATATATAAACGTTTATAATAACAAAAACTGCTTAATATCTAGAAGCCCGTGTCTATTTAGAAATAAACCTTTTTGTTTATTTTATTTGACATATGTATGGAAGTATTGATGCAGAAAATGTAATTCTATAATAGGCGTGGTTAGGAACGAAAATACATAACACAATATAAAACATAGTGGATTACTATCCTTAAAGTTCAAAAATTCTGTTTTTCCGGTTTGTATTTAGGTGCATGATAATGGGACAGCAGGACATTTTACCTGGTATAATAGCCATGGTCAAATATAGTACAGGAAACGCCGTCACAAAGAATGAGGAGGCGTAGCCGATGAACAATAAAAATCCTCCGGACATTATAACCAATCTTTCTCCAAACTTTTCATTTAAAAGAACTGCAATGATTGCTGGAACAATAAAAAAGATAAATTAAAAACAGAAAAAGAATAATGTAAATTTTATGTTAATGTAATTTCTATCCCAACAGAATATTGAAATGCATGGTGATCCGTTTATATTATTTTATATAAATTGTAACGGATCCATTCAATATTTGTATTCACGCCATCAATTATTACAATCCCGATATCCCTCTTTCTTATAAACACTTGCTTATACTTCCCGCGCTTGTTGTTATAAGTTAAAGCCTTTAAAACCACTTAATAATAAACAGTTTAAATACAATGTTTTTGTCTGTTTTAATTATAGTATAGGATTGATATAGACCACTGTGTCTTAACTACCCCGGCGAAAAATGTTTGGACTCGATAGTATCTAATGTCCGGTACGGTGACGGACAATCAACAGACAGAGAAAAGGTAGAATTTCTGTTATTTATTTGTTTTTTTATGACATTGAAGAATAAACATACACATATAACTATTTTCGATTGTGTGATGTAATATTTTCTACAACCGTTCTAGATTAATGGAGAAATAAGTAAAAAGGCACATGAAAATGGTGACTTGAGTGAACCTTGCTACGAATTTGTTTAATTTCTTTTTAAATTGTGCACATTGAACGGAAAGAAAAGTACGGAAAGAAAGATATTAACACAGAGATTGCATGGCTAGTCACTATGAGCACCTCAATATTTGCATTTCTGTGCATGGAACGAACGAAATGGATCATGTCAAAATGGAAGGACCCTGTTTCGTCAATGTTGTTTATTAGACAAGGACCCTGTTTTGTCTCAGTATAGGACCCGGTTTTGTTTTGTTTTGAAACCACAAATTTATGAAAAGCTACGTTAGCACGGATCTGGACATTGCCCATCGGAAGAAATTAAATATTTGAGTCAAAAAGATGTTACAAAGATGTTATTGCAATACAAACATGTGTTAAAATATATTTCAAACGGGAACTTTTCGAAATAGGGAGTAGACATTTTTGAATGCTATACGTATACCTTATTGATCTTATCTTCGAACTAAGTTTAAATGGAAATAAATACTTTATATCATGTACTTACATTAATTCCTTATGATAGAAAAAAAAAGATGTGGTGTGATTGCCAATGAGATAGCTCGTCACAAGAGATCAAATGACACAGAAATTAACAACTATAGGTCGCCGTACGGCCTTCAACAATGAACAAAGCTCATACAACATAGTCAGCTATAAAAGGCCTCGAAATGACAAGTGTAAAACCATTCAAACGAGGAAACTAACGGCCTAATTTATGTACAAAAAAATGAACGAAAAACAAATATGTAACACAGCAACAAACGACAACCACCGAAATACAGGCTACTGGCTTGGGACAGGTAAATATATACAGAATGTGGCGGGGTTAAACATCTTAGCGGGATCCCAACCCTCCCCCTAACCTAGGAAATTGGTGTAACAGTACAACATAAGAACGAACTATAAAAATCAGTTGAAAAAGGCTTAAGTCATCAGATGGATACAAATAGAAATACATCTAAAAAATGTTTGTTTGTTTTCTATACTACTGTAATGATGTAAAAATAAGAAGATATGGAATGATTGTGTTAACATATCAATTTATCAAAAGAGTAAGGATAGTATGCTTTACTACACTATACGCTATGTTTACAATATATTTACTCATTCGTTCATCCATTGACGGACAGTGAGAGAAAAAGCTCTGTTTTGAAGGCCGTACTTTGACTTATAATGGTTTACTTTTACAAGTTGTGACTTGGATGGAGAGTTGTCTCATTGGCACTTATACCACATCTTCTTATATCTATTAGAACGTTTTGGATATCTCAATCAAAATGGTTGCCTTTCGAACGTGTATTTTATGTCCGCTTCGAAATACACAAGTTCTAAACTTCCCCATTAGAAACAAAATAATTCTATCATGCCATGCTCTACGCTCATTTTAACATAGGTAGGCATTATATTTGTCAATATTTTATACCTGGCTAACGCTTGGTTTAAAAATTTTAACAAATATAATGCCTTCCTATGTTAAAATGAGCATTGAGCATGGCATGAAAGAATTATTTCTTTTTATAACATGCAACATTATATCTTCGTCTTCGTCTTCGTAGAACAACCTAATTGGCAATTTAGCCCGTGAAAAATGACAATGAGACAGCTTTCCATCAGAGACCAAATGACGTAAAAGTTAACAAATATAGAACACCGTATGGCATCCAACAATGAGAAACATCCATACGGCATAGCAAGCTAAAAAAGGCCCCGAAATGAAAACTGTAAAAAAAAACTAATGTGGAAACTAACGACCTAGATTTATGTACAAAATAAAAAACGAAAAACAAATACATGTATGATATATAGCAACAAAAGACAACAACCGATTTACAGGCTCCTGAATTCGGTACTGGTACATACAGAATGGCGAGGTTGAACGTGTAAGCCCCCCACGCTCCCCCTCCAAAATAAAATAAAAAAAAAGGGGTATAACAGCAAAACATATGAACAAACTATAAAATTCAGTGAGTTGAAAAAGGCTTAACTCATTTGATAACAGAGCCCCTATAGTAAATATGCGATCGGCGGCTGTCTCTGTTATTTCGTCTTTTATTAAATTTTATGATGGTATACGATATAGTTACATTATATCAGTGGCGGATCCAGTAGAGTAGAGGGAGTACGCCGACCCCCCCCCCCCCCCTTTTTGGTGGCTAGAAATAATTATTTTATCATGTTTTTTACGATTTATATATGATTTTTTATTTAGCATAAAATCGTTAAAAAAAAGTCCCCTTGCTACGCTTGGCGGTATAAAATCCGTTTATGAATACGCCCCTTTCAAAAATCATGGCCTCGGTCCGCCCTTGCATATTGACAATTTTTAACTTGACCAAATTGCTTAAATTGTAGAACATTTGTCAATGTACGATAATCATTATACAATGAAGAGATAATCCTATATATAATAGTTGTACTATATAGGGCAGTTGTTAACAACTTGATACTAGTGCATTAAAGAATTTGTTAATGTTAAAAAAAAAAAAGAAAAAAAAGAGAGATAAAACATCGTTTATTTATAAAAATTACTAATCAAATAATCATTATTGCAATTTCCGGATGGCCTAAGACTTTTATACTAATTTATACTTAGTATTATAATAATTGTAACAAGCGGGGGTAAACAGATTTTAAACGCACTATTATTGTGATCCTTTGCGCCGCATGGAAATTCCTTTTCTTGGACGATTCTGCATGCACATACATTTGTCTTATTCTCTTGCTTTATAATGAACGTTTAGTTACAGAATATTTATTTTCAAACGATTATACTGTCTTCCCTTTAAGTAGAGCGGAACACTAAGATAACCATCTTGTTGTCCCAGAAAATCACATATCAAATGTGCGTCCTTAAATTTTCAAGGCCGTACACTAATTAAGTTTGAACACTTAAATTTACATAGATGACATAAAAAAATCTAATTCCGTTTCAAAACCTTCATTTCTTTTTAATTTTTCCTTTTTTTTTTTTTATACAAAACAAAATTGAAATTTGCTTTGTTCTAATATAGCAGGAATTCAAGTGTTTACGGATTCAAAAAGGTTATCCTCCGAAAGAAAATGTTTTTCAACGATCCCTCAAACTACTGTTGAACGCCATATTTTAATTTTCGTCATGCGATTATGCATTATTTTCTATGACAAAACCGGGTCTGCTTTGTGAAATTTAAGGACAAAACCGGGTCGTACACATTGACAAAACCGGGTGCTTCAATTTTGACATGACCCACTTCTTTCATTCCATGCACAGACATGCAAATATTGAGGCGATCATAGTGAAAAGTCTTGAAATCTCCGTGTTAATATCTTTCTTTCCGTACCTTTGTTTCCGTACAATGTGCTCAATTTAAAGAGAAATTAAACAAATTCGAGGCAGGGTTCACTCAATTCACCATTTTGATGTGCATTTTTACTTATTTCTCCATTAATCTAGAACGGTTGTAGAAAATATTACATCACACAATCGAAAATAGTTATATGTGTATGTATATTCTTCAATATCATTAAAACAACATATAAATAAACAGAATTTCTACATTTCTCTGTCTGTTGATTGTCGGTCACCGTACCGGACATTAGATACTATTGAGTCCAAACATTTTTCGCCGGGGTAGTTTAGATACAGTGTAGACAACGCATGTCAAAATATTGAACTAAAAATGCATATTGTTTTCTACTTGTTACGTTTATTAATAAAATTGTAGATTTTATACATGTGTACATGTTTTTCCAATACATTGCATCTGATGTAACCATTTATGTATATATAAGATACATGTAGACAAATAACAAAACCATACCAGATATTGATTTTAAGGTTCATGTGGACCCTTTGACTAAAATGGCTGCATTTTCACCTCAAAATTTACTCTGAGTACAGACAAACCTGTGTATCTGGAAAAGTTTTAAGGCATAGCATGCCCTAGATAAATAAAATTCAAATATATTTAATGTTTTAGAAAATTAAAAACTTAACAGGATTTCACAGTGCACTTTTTTTCGTTCCTCCAGAAGTTGGCAAAATAAAATAAGTTGTGAAAGAGGTTTGAGAACTTCCCCACTGGTAATAATTGAAGTGAACTTTATTGATTGACATGGACAATAGATGGACAATAGATACCTGACAATAATTGGTGATTTAAACTGTGTACCTGAGTGGACCATATCAAGTGAAACTCGACTGTTTGTTAATTTTATCATCTTCTGCAGGGACGAAAAAAAGTGCACTGCAAAATCCAGTTAAGTTATAAATTTTCTAAAACATTCAATGCATTTGAATTTTATTTATCTAGGGCATGCTATGCCTTAAAACTTTTCCAGATGCACAGGTTTGTCTGTACTCAGAGTAAATTTTGAGGTAAAAACGCAGCCATTTTAGCCAAAGGGTCCACATGAACCTTAATATTCATAAGTACGAATCAATAGTGTTGATTATTCCATTAATTACAACTTACTTATCATTGCTTTTATAAATTAAGAGCCTCCTTTTAATAACTTACCACCAGAAATTGATACTGAAATATACAATGCACCAATAACTGTCACAGCCGTAATGTCTTCGTTAAATTCATCCATAATATAAACGTGGTAAATTCCCATTGTATTTATAGATCCAATATACAAAACATGTTCAATAAAACATGCGAGTGTAATAATCCACCCCCAGCCACCCCCGGGTTCCTTCTTCGTTAACATCTACACAAATTTAACATAAAAGAAAACACTTTTCGCACTTAAAAAATCTTCGTTAATTATTGTTCGCTTCAATCTACACTTGTGTATTATTCCATTGTGTATTTTTCCAGTACGGTTTTACACAAAACACATACATTATAATCGTGCACAGGGTTTAACAATCCAGGCCAGTTATAAGCCTTTTGTTGTGGTTTTAAATTTGCTTATGCATGGTACTTTGTGTTTTGTTTAATAATATAAATACAATTGTCATGCGTATACATTTAAATATATTTACATTTGATTGATTGGCACTAAATATAATGTGTCATATTGGTTCGGCTCGTCAGAGGATTTTTAAGGAACGCCATATACAGATACTTCATAAATTATGTAATTGAAAAGGTCAGTAGTATGGGACAAGTAAATAAACGCGGAACAACTTAAGCTACAATAGGAATTTTAATCCCGATGCATTTAATTCATTTATTTTCTAAATGGGAAGCTTATAGTATATAAAACAGATTAATACCATCACTTAAGTATTAAATTGTGTAATATGGTTAACGTATGAGTTGCAGGTCTATTATGTAGCTTAATAATTCGCATACTCCTGTAAAATAAAATTAAATGCATTTTAAGACGGCAAACCCAATGACGTCCTCGGTTATTCATATAATGATGTTAAATTGAAATAAATGCATTTTAAGACGACAATACCAAGGACGTACATTGTATTTCGGTTTATCGAGATCTTAGTCCGTCGATTTTCAATTATATGGTGTTAGTAATATAATGCCTAAAGGTGTCTATTCATGGGCGTATAATGTGTCCGTTGATTTTGGTTGATCGATGAAATATTTGGATGTTAATGTATAAAACATTTGCCTTACAAATTCCCATATCTATTCTATCATAAATAAATAATGATTGATTGATTGTTGGTTGCTTGACGTCCAGTTGCAACTATTTTATGCATGTACAAGGCAAGAACAAATTAACAACAAATACAGTTGACGCCTGCAGTAGAGGCCGGCCGGTGTGAAGGTCGGGGAAATTTAGACTGCCACGGGAAAATGAGGGTATATTGGATAGGAATAGAAATTTAGCCTTGCAACAAGACACCCACGGACTCTCATAGAGCTGTTGCAAGGGTTCTTAATGTGCACAGATCGTGGTACTCTCTTTACACGAGGCATCGGATTTAACGTCCACATTCTTACCGGACGTGGCTGCGTACTTGATACATCCCGCACAGCCAAACGGGGGCCCCACTTTGGCGAACGTTTTACTGCTGGTCGGAGGAAAACATATGGTGACCATATTAATATTCCCCAGTCACCCTTTTGGGTGGGGGTTAAATCAATAATATGAAAACTATTTTATTTATGTCTATCGCAAAACAACACAATAATAATAATTTTCAGGAAATCAACCAAGGCATATATAAGTCAGCTGCGGGTGTTGTTAGAACTGTACACAACAGGATTTTTTTTTTTTACAACAGGAATTTTTTTTGTACAAATAATGTCCTGGAAAAAATATAAATATATTATAACAAATTATTAGAGGTTTCTACACCTTACTAGACGGAATGACATGCATATTTAAAAACTTGTGTTTTTATGAGTGTTTTTTTTTTTTTTTTACATATATATTAAAAAGCAGTTCGTTGATAAGCAACCTTTACAAATCTCGGTATGTTTTGGTCCGTTATGAGTTTATGTATCATATTTTCTTTCTTGATATTATTCAGTGTGATTTCATGGCGGAGGCGGATGCGGTTTTCGTTATTGTCTGTCGGTTGTTAATTGGGTCTGACCAAAGACAATTGACAATCTAAAGAAATGAAACTCCATTTACACTAATGTTTGTTTCTATCGAACACTGATCCTTGACTTGGAGTTGGGTTGATGTTGACATGACTAAATTTTATTTCCTGCACAACGTTAAATACATTTACGAACTAAATATATGGTGGTTCTTGATTGGTCAATACTTTAGTTGCTGTTGGACGAACATCACCACATTTTGGTGATGGACATTTTTTTTGTTTTCTATGTTGTGTTATGTAAATTGTTGTTAGTCTTCGACATGTGAGCTTGAATTATTTACTTTTGATATCGTACGCCTCTCTCTTGAGACAAGTTTACGAAATACCGGACGTATCAATAATGCAAGAATGGCAAGGAGTGATGTCAAACGAACACGAGACACATATACTGTCATGCATTTATTGTCATGTGACGCCTTTTTCCCGAAATGTAAAGAGAAAATTGATCTTACCTCAAATTTGAATACTTTCGTACATTGACATTGAAGAAAAAGGACCCCTGAAAAAATTTACCTGAAAAATAACAATACTATTTAATTTATTCAACTTAACCGAATGGGCCCTACCTCAAATTTGGATACTTCCATACACTGACGTTGAATAAGAAGTTATAGAGCAGGTTCTTCCTACCTTTCAAAACCATGCGAGTTTACTTGCTTGTTGCCATACGTTCAGCGGCAAATATTTCATGTACATTCGTGACGAGAACAAATTAACAATAAATACAATAGCTGGGTCCTTAAAAGAGGCCGTCTGAGATGAGGGTCTGTGAAATTTTGACTGCCACTGAAAAATAAGGGTATATTGGATAGGAACAGTAATTTTGCCTTGCAACAGGCCACCTACGGACCGACTAAAGAGTTATTGCAAGGGTTCTTGAAGTCCAGAGAGCAGGACACACTCTTTCTAAACGAGGCATCGGATTTAAAGTACCCACTCTACAGGCTGCGAACTTATACATCCCGCACAGCCAATTTTGGTAAGGGTTTTACTGAAGGTCCCATTCACCCTTGAGGTATCTGAGTTCACCACCTGTTTTAAGAAGGGTTCGGCTCGTGAATTCTTTAGTATATATCCCTATAATGACTAAGTAGGAAAAGGAATATAGGGTATAACCTTGTTAATTTGGTTTTGTTTTACATTGAAGTCTAAATTTAGACAACTTAAAAGTTAGACAACTTAAAAGAATTAGAGAAATGACATTTTGTCAATGTGCAATTATATAGTAAGGTATGTACCTTCATGTGTCATCTTGACCTTCATTTTATGCATGAATGATAGATTAAGTTTTACATAAATGCAGTCATTTACGACGGCACAAATTCTATATGTATGAAGGAAATCTAAAATGGAGGGCATATATTGCCTGTTATCAGATATGAAGTACTTTGTTTGGTGTTTTAAAAAGTTCCGGTAACCAGTACGGTCTGATTTGTAAATAATGGCATATTGATCCCGTCCCCATAAATGTTTGAAAGTGAAAACTTTAGCGAAGAAAGCAATGGGGACTAAGAAAAGGTGGTGTTCGTCTTATCAGAGATTTCAACTTAAATGACATACGTACGGACCTAATGGGACTGGTTATATCCAAAGGGACTCGGTTAGCAGATTAAAACAAAGTCAATATTTTTAATTTTTTTTTTAGTATTTCTATTACTTTATAAACAGACAAATAGAAGAAATATTGGGTTGATGTAGATAAGACAGACACCCAGCAGACAAAAATGACTCTTTTTACATTAAGCATGTCTGTACTAAAACTAGAATTTAGACAGTTAGCTGTTGACTTTGATCTTTTCCTGCCTTGATAAATTAAACGGACACACCATACAGTCCAACAAGAAGAAACAATATTTATATGCAGATGATTACCAACTTTAGAGAGATAATAGGTACAAATATTATGTTTCTTGTTATATAAGTAAACCCTCTTATTTCACCTTAACTGATGTTTTTAATGCTGACCATGAAAATGTGTTGTCATTTGATGGTCTTGTCCTGAAGTATAATAGATTCTAGGTACTGACTTTATTTATCATCTTAATTACGTGTTTATATAGTGTTCTTTTATTTGTCTTTGTAAATTATTACCTTTACTGTTTAGTACATTTTTGGTAATATCCTTTTGGCGTGACTCGGTACTTATACATTACGTCATTGTGTTATTGTGCTATGGTCAATTTTTGTTTTCTTGTCTTTCATTTTTCCTTGTGTGCTTTGTCTATATGCCATTTTGTTTTTCTTTATTGACATATTTGTTTGTTTTTTTAGTGATTAAGATTATAACACAATGTTGACTGCTGTACCCCTATTTTTGACATTTTTACCTATCAAATTTGTATGTCTCTGTTTTGTTCACACAATGTTGTCAATATAATGGAATTGTATGCGACTGTCATACAAATGAGAGGTTAAGCTAGCTATAAAACCAGGTTTAATCCACCATTTTCTATATAAGGAAATGCATGTACCAAGTCAGGAATATGACAGTTATTTTCCATTCGTTTGATGTGTTTGGGCTTTTGATTTTGCCATTTGATAAGGGACTTTCCGTTTTGAATTTTCCTTGGAGTTCGGTTGTTTCGTTATTTAACTTTTTATGATCAGATCCATTTTGTGAAACAGAGTGCATAAAGAAGGTAAACTAACACGTATGGAAGAAATTTTGATGACCGAGTTTTATATTTTTTTTTTCTTGCGCTCCTTTCCAATCTTATAATTTGACAGTTTTTGTGTTGTGCTGTTACGCTGCTGTCCTAGGTTAGAGGAAGCGCTCACATGTTGTACTCCACCACATTCACTATGTTCCTATTGCATACAGAAGCCTGCAATTTGATGGTTGTCTTTGGTTGCTGTTTGTGGTATAAAAATTTTGTTTTTCATTTATTGTTCTGTTATTAATCTTTTCACACTTTGTCATGTTTGAACCTGACTTTAAGGTATTAACTTGCTCATTGTTGAATGCTGTACAGTAGCCTTATAGTTGCTTACATGAAGTCATTTGGTCATGATGGATAGTTTTCTCCTTGGCAATCACACCACATCTCCTTTTTTTATATTTAAAGAGGCCTTAAATGCTTTATCTTGACATTATACTTTATTAACACAAATTTAAATTTTAACAAATAGCAATAAAACTGGATAGCCATTGCAACACATAAACCTAAATACATTTTGTCATGTCAAATCAATGAATAATTGTAGTCATTGAAAGCTAGAGCAAGGATTTATATATCACTAATGTATACGTCATTGCTCAAAGAATTATGTTGATTGATAATGAATCTAGTAACATAATGACAGTCACACCACATCTCCTTATTTTTATATTTAAAGAGGCCTTAAAAGCTTTATCTTGACATTATACTTTATTAACACAAATGCAAATTTTAACAAATAGCAATGACACTGGATACCCATTGCAATACATAAACCTAAATATATTTGTTTCATGTTAAATCAATGAATAATTGTAGTCATTGAAAGCCAGAGCAAGGAATTATATAATCACTAATGTATACGTTCTTGCTCAAAGAATTATGTTGATTGATAATGAATATAGTAACATAATGAA